TTCATGAGGTTGCAAAGAGTCAGACACGACTGAGCTACTATCACTGTTTATAAAATGTAATGTAGTGAAAAGCACAGTGCAACGACAGAAAAACAGAACAGAGTAAGCAGAGAGAAGACAGTCATAATACTCTGCGTGTGTCTGGGAAGTAGGTACGATCAGGTAAAGTTTCTTCAATAAGGAGACAAAGACCTTAGGAAACAGAAGCAACTGATTACCATTAATCTATTAATTGTCAAATTGAAATGCCTCTTGAATCCTCACCTTACAGGACCTTCCTGTATCACGAGGCATTGCTCACCAATCCCTTCTACCTTTAAAGCCCTTTCTCTCTTGGCTTCAGTGATCTTTCTTTCTCCTAAGCCCAAGTGTTTCAGATTTCACAAGCCAGCAGGGTTGCACCTGGTTAGTACCTAGGTCTCTAAGAATACAAAGTGTGACAGGCTTTTTCCAACATACTCGGTAAATCTTCATTCTCCCCCACTTCCCTTTCTTGACAATTTTTAAGCCTTTTTAAAGAATGCCTGCCCCCTACTCTAGTTTCCTTTCCTGCTCAACCTTAAAGCATCAGTCCCCCCCAAGTTTTTTTTTCTTCATCTTGTTAAATCTAGCTTCGCTGAGCAAACATACCTATTTTCTGTCACTAATAAGCTGATAACTACTAAACTAAAAACTCCAGATAGATATTTACAGGCAGCTATAAAACTTTTCTACCAGATATGCCCCGAGTACCACACAGATACAACATTTCTAAAGCCAAAATCATTACCTCATCTTCCAAACTTGTCCTTCTCTTGGTTAAAGATAGTATTACGTCTTAGTCCAAGATATACAACTGCTTTATCCTCGATTCCTCCTCCCTCCCACATCCAGCAGTTCTATCTCATCTCTCCATCACAGAAATGTCTTCTATACCTATCTCCCCTTAATTTCTGCTGCTTTTGCCTTAGTTCAGATCTTTATCACATATACACATTTCCAGCCTCTCCCTTCTCCAACCTTTTCTGCTGCCACAGTTATCTAGTGAGATTGCCCACAACCCCTTCCAAGTCTGCTATGTTGTACCTATACTGAACCACTCTTAAGGTTCTAACACACTTCCTGGGATTTTTATCCATCCAATAAACAAGCACTAAAGGCGGCCTCCTATGTACTAGGCAGTTTGCCAAATGCTTAATATATGTTACATCATTTAATATTTAATATAGTTCAGGTAGATTGGAGTGTATTAGCTCCAAAGCTAAAAAGAAACAAAGCAAGGATCCAAGCACAGATCTGTCCAATACATTGGCTATTAAAATAATATGGCATCAAAGTCAGTACCAAAAAAAAAAAAAGAATCAAGATAAATTAGTAAAGATGATGAATTATCAGTTAAACCAGTGCTTAGATTAGGGAAAAACAAACAAAAACCCCTAAAGGGACAGCATGGCTTTCTTCAACTACATTAAGAGCTACATTAGAAAAGAGCAATCAAAGGTTAATCAAGTTTTAGCGGGCAGTACCCTAAGCCCTACTAATTCTAGCAGTCCAAAAAAGGACTAGGCAGGAAGATCTGTCACAATTTTTAATAATGACTTATCCACACATGAAAGGAATGACAATACATATGGATAAAACCTGCTTAGGGTTTGTCCTCTCTCCATTTGACAGATGAAAAGCTTAAAACAGATTGAACCTTCCCAGGTCTAGAATGACTTTTATTGCCTTTAGACATACCTATAGCGCAGGGTGGTGGTTTAGTCGCTAAGTTGTGTCCAACTCTTGCAACCCCATGGACTGTAGCCTGCCAGGCTCCTCTGTCCGTGTAATTCTCCAAGCATGAATACTGCAGTGAGTAGCCATTTCCTTCCCCATGGGATCTTCCCAGCCCAGGGATTGAATCCAGGTCTCCCTCATTGCACTTGAATTCTTTACCATTTGAACCACCCTGGAAGCCCAAGAAAACCAGAGTGTGTAGCCTATACCTTCTCCAGGGATCTTCACAACCCAGGGATTGGACTGGGGTCTTCTGCATTGCAGATGGATTCTTTAACAGCTGAGTTACCAGGGAAGCCCCAAGAGTATGATAATCTTCAATAAAATTTTTCAGGAGTACATATATTTTCTGATTTCACAATCAAGTTTAGTTTGCTGCTGCTGCTAAGTCACTTCAATCGTGCTAACTGGCTTCAATTAAAAACATGGGTTTAATTCCTTTTAATTTAATGGCAAGCAGTACTATATTTACTCAATTATTATGGTAAAGAATCCTTCTGCAATGCAGGAGACAGGTTTGATCCCTGGGTCGGGAAGATCCCCTGGAGAAGGGAATGGCAATCCACTCCATTATTCTTGCCTGAAGAAATTCTTAGACAGAGGTGCCTGGCAGGTTACAGTCCTTGGGGTCGCAAAGAGTCAGACATGTCTGAGCAACTAACCACACAAGCACACATGGTATGTATTAAGCAAATTCTCAAAGATTTTCTACTGAATACTGCAATATGAGGTTCATTAGACACCTTTGATATGCTGGATTTTAATTTTCAATAAGGGAAAACTCTATCACTGTACCAATTTACCACTGTGTATTAAATGAAGTCACAGAGGAATAAATTAATGAATTATTAATTAATGAATTAATGAATTAATTCCTCATTAAGACTCAAATTTCATCTTTATAAAGTGAGACCTAACAAGGGCTAATTTTTTAAAAGATGGAGGAGAAAAAGAAAGGCACTAATTTCAACAAAACTGAGAGCTTTTATTTTATTAAAATAAAAAAATTCATTACCTTTTGAAATTACCAATATTCAACTGTTTTGCTCTAGAAAAAGAATAATTTCATATATTGTAACCTAATTCATTACAATTAACACACCATAACATTGTTAATGGTAGCAACTTAATTTTGTTTAAAAAAAAATTAAACGCATAAAGAAGTACTGTTTAACATGAAACATCACAAGTTGGGCCCCTAAAACATACCCATGATAACATAACATATTACATACTAATATGTATTAATATGTAACATATTACAGCAGAATTCATGTTTTTCTTCACCCATGTAATTGAGTATTATAATAGGTTTTCATTGTATTTTAAGAGCATTAATGGTAAGATTTCAAAAGTAATGTCAGCACTGCTAAAACATAAGATTCACTAAAATGTAGGCTCAATGAGAAGAGCGCTTTGACTTTTGATTTTTTCTCGCATCCCCAGGACCTCTCATGGACAAAGCCATTTATCTAACAAATATTTATTGAATACCTACTTTGTATCAGACATTGTTTTAGATGCTTAGCATAAATAAATGAAAAGTCAGATGAAGATCTTTGCCTCAATTACAAATGCTAAATAAAATAATAGAAAAATAAAGCTTCAGAAAAACCATTCTAAAGCACTGTATGTGTATTAAAATAACTTCATAAGAAATCCAGAACCCAAGATCCTATGCTAAAATACCACCATATGTTTGAAAATTCATTAAAAATAATAATAATAAGATGTCTCTAGGAGTTCTCTAAACAAAAACACCTTGAGTAAGGAATACCATTACAATCCCTACTTCATGAAAACTTCGAGTGATCTGCCTAAAATAAATTAAATAAGTAAAGAACAAGAACTTCATTTGTTATAGTACACTGCAGCTGCACACAAACAGAAAATCATCACAGGTCTCGATTATCTATCATCCTCAAGGTGGTTAGTATGAGAGCGTCACCTAGGAGCAAAAGCATGAAATAATACCATACTCATTACTGTATTTGCTTTTTGGTGAGACTAGGTCACTGCAGAAAGTTAACAGTTATTACTTTTCTTTTCATAACACAACCTAAAATAATTTACTCTCCAGCATGCAACAATACACAGGGCTCAATGACTCTGTTTATTAATTCCATCTGAATCTATGTAAATTAAGAGGAGGAAAAAAAGCTAAATCATTGCAACAGGATCCTTCAGTTCTGTTAGGGTTATTCTTCATCAGAAGGATTAAGCACAATTTGAAAAGGAATCTTGAAACCGCTATTGCTAATGCTATTTTCTTCTTTTCCTTTGTTGTCTTTAAGCAAATGCTGTATCACACAGGATAACATAGGTAAGGAGAACCGGGAAGTGAAAGAACAGGGAACAAAGCAAAATCTGGAGTCCTGGTACAACACAAAGATAAACTCAAAGATAAAGAATCAATGTCGGCTTTTCCTTAGAGTCCTCGTGAATAAACCCTTAAACCCTTCTGTTAACCTATTGTCCCGGCTCTAAAACTGGCCCGTGACATTTCCTCGAGAGATGCTCTCGGCACCCCTCCCATAAAAGATGCTGCAGAAATGGAAAAACGGTTACCTAGGGAAACCAAGGAAAGTGGCCAAGGAAAGTATCAGCAGCTCAAGGCTGGAGACACACCCCGGGGCTCCTGCAAAGGCTGGCGGTGGGGAGGCGGCAGACATGAATGGAGAGTCCACTTTGCAAGGAAAATAAAATTTGGCCAGAGGCTGTTATTACCAATAGGACACTCAGGGAGTCAGGCAGACCAGAAAATGGTAAGAAGGAATTTGCAGGCGTTTACCAGAGGGCAGATCAGGCTTGTGGGGGTAGGGCGGGGGAGCGCCTCAGGTATAAACCGTCTGAGGAGGGGTAGCCTAAGGATCATCAGCTCGACCGCGTCGGGGGCTGCAGACAGCCGGATCATCCCGGCCTCCGAAGGAGCGGCGGGGTCCACCACTATGAAACCTGCCCTCGCCTCCCCGGTACCGAAGTCCAGGGCAGACCCTTCCCCCCGCCACCCCACCCCCAGGCGCCCCGCCCACATCCTTTCATCTCCTCACCTTCCAGTCCCTCCATTGCGCCAACGCTTCTGGATCTGCCGAACTCCTTGAGCTGCACCCGCCACCGCCGCCACCGCCCAGCTCCGGCTGTAGCAACCCGGCCGCGCCTCCCACCTGCTAATATTCCGAGCTCCCATTGGCCCGGCGCGGGAGGGGCGGGGGCTACGAGGGGGCGGGGACTCTAGGTGGCCCGCCTCCTGCAGCCGCTGCGCGGGGGCCGCCCAGCTCCGCGGTTCAGCGGCTCTCTGGGTGAGTGCACCGTGTTGGATTGCCTCTTGCCGCCCAATGGCGGCCTTTGTTCGACTCTCGCCTTGTTTTTCTTACGCCTTAGCCTTTTGTTTAGAATATCTCAGCACCTCAGGGTTCCCGTCAGCAGTCCCTCAATGAAATGCAGTTCTGAATTGCCATCTGTCCCTCTCTGAGGACTTGAAGCAAACAGGCAAACAGACCCCACGTCCTACACACTCTTGAGCAGCACCCTCTCCATTCCCCGCTATGGAGTCACACTTCACCGGAGTCTATTTCCTAGACTTTCTCTTCACACATGGATATGTGAGTGTTAGGACTGTTTTCCTACAGAAATAGTACTTTCTATCTGGAATTGTGGAACTGAGATTTCTCTCGGCCCTCAGAAACAATTTCCTCAGCAGAAAAGCTTGGGCCGAAAATTAAAGGGAAAACCCAGAGCTACGTTCCTCTTAGGCTACTTTTGGCCTTCCCAGGCCCCAGACTTGGAACTAGTCAGTCGGCGCCCCAACTGAGGAGGTGACATAAAACTAGGTTTTTGATCAGGGAGTTTAGGGGGGAAACTATATATGACAGATGGAAACCTGTTTCTGTCAAAACCTCTTAGGATAAAGGTAACTGCAAAACTAGCTAAAACCTCTGGTTAACAGTCTAACACATTTCCCCAGAACTAAATGTCTGAAAATTTGATTTAGCAGTAATAAGCCATCTCATTGGCTAACTCTAGTATCAGCTCAGTTCAATCGCTCAGTCTTGTCCGATTCTTTGCGACCCGTGAATCACAGCACGCCAGGCCTCCCTGTCCATCACCAACTCCCGGAGTTTACTCAAACTCATGCCCATCAAGTCGGTGATGCCATCCAGCCATCTCATCCTCTGTCGTCCCCTTCTCCTCCTGCCCCAAATCCCTCCCAGCATCAGGGTCTTTTCCAATGAGTCAACTCTTCACATGAGGTGGCCGAAATGTTGGAGTTTCCGCAATTGGTCAGTATTAGTGTAATTTCCGTAACTAATCTTATGTGAATTCTCGTATTACTCTGTTCAGCTGCAAAATGTTGACATCATATCTAAGTTTGTCTGCTTATATAAGTATGTAACTTACAAACCAGAAGACTTTATGAAGCAAGAGTTCTATTCTCCATCCAAGAATGCCTTATAAACGAGTAATCTGAGCATTAGGGGCTTCCCAGGTGGTGCTAGTGGTAAAGAGCCCAGCTGCCAAGCAGGAGACATAAAAGACACTGATTTGATCCCTGGGTCTGGAAGATCTCTTGGAGGAGGGCCCAGCAACCCACTCCAGTATTCATGCCTAGAGAATGCCATGGACAGAGGAGCCTGGCAGTCCATAGGGTGGTGTGGGGAAATTAACAAGATGGTGTCAGTTAGGCTCTCTCTCCCCATGTTCTCAGAGCCTTCTCACCCATGTTCTATAAACAATGACTTTGCATGATTATGTAACAGCCGAAATCACATATAGCACTGCACATTTGCATCAGGAGGTACTCACCTGGTCATGAGCTACTTTGTATGGTGGGCCTATGCGGGCTTCAACATGAAAGCCCTGGCTGCTGCTGCATTAGGGATACATTGGAGAAACATCATGGTTATGTTACATGAGGTTATGTTATGACTCTGTTATGGCTTCATTATGGTTATGTTGTGGCTGTTGCTATGGCTGCGGCGTCAGCCAGGAGAGAGACTGCGATATGGCTACTGTGCCAGACAGGAGAGAATAAACCTGTCTGCAGTTCCCGTGGCTCCTCCAGTCTCTTTCCAGCCTCAGCTGGCGCCTTGCCTACCATGGGTTCTGCAAGCAGTACAAACAGTGTGAACAGAGAGACAGGATCAGCAATACAGGTGGCAGAGTTGGGACACAAATGAAGCAACTTAGCATGCAGGCACAAACAAGCACCTGAGGACTACACCATCTCTTATTGGGAAGGTGATTTTACTATGTTTGAATGTGGTGCAGTCTCTCTCTGATACGGACTCTTGAGACATGCCTGTCTCAACTCCTCCCCTCCCCTTCCTCCCCTCTCCCTCTGGTTCTTTGATTCCTGTGAGACTTGAGATCCTAGGCCTAAATGGCCAGCCCACAGCCTTGCCTGCCACTTAGCCACCCTGGAGTGAGTGGGGAAAGTTCCTTTGGTGCTGCTAAGACTAAAGTTAGAATCAGGGAGGGGAGGGGGATGGGAGTGCTTTAAACAAGCACTAAAAAGGAAAAACCACCATTGGGAAAAAACCCCAAAATAGAGAAAAAACTTACTAACTCACTTTATAAATCCCAAGTTCTTGAGCTGAAGTCAAGTCACAAATGGAACTGGCTGATACACAACCTATTGGGTATAACTGCTACGGTAACAATACAGTAACAACAACTGCTATAGTAAAAACAATAATAATGATAATAGTAATGATTTTGAAAAAATTATATCAGGCACGTTTTAGGTCCTTTTCATATAGTCACTTATCTAATCTTCAAAACAACTCTACAAAGTAGATATAATTTTCATCTTTTAGTCTTGAATTTCTAGAAGTCTCAGAGATTAATTTTTCGCTAATATTTATGCTCTTAGTGAATGGTGAAAGTGAAAGTTGCTCAGTCATGTCCAACTCTTTGTGACCCCATGGAATTCTCCAGACTAGAATACTGGAATGGGTAGCCATTGCCTTCCCCACCAGATCCTTCCAACCCAGAAATCAAACCAGGTTCTCCTTCGTTGCAGGCAGATTCTTTACCAGCTGAGCTACATTAACTTGGATTTAAACTCTAGTCTGTCTGATTCTACCTGTAATGGATGATTTCATGTGACTCCTCACTTCCTCCTCATCTTGCTTTCTAATTACCTTAAATGTAAATTCAAATAATTCAGATTGGTTGTTCAAGGTATATTTGAGTAGGCATAGCTACTGTGAATCTTAACTCTCTAAATGGTGCCTGCCAATCTTTAGGAGTAGTGTTCTCTCAACACTCTTATCTACCCTGGCTTCTTCAGCTTTCCCTGGTCCTGACCCCTGGATGAAGAAGGCAATTTCTTATCTGCCTTCCCTCCTCTGCACCCTACATGCCTGGCCCAAAAATCTCTTTGGTCTTAATGCACTCTCCTGGCTTTTCTTTTCCTTGATCTATTCCATTTTTCTGAGACATATTCATTTAACAAATATTTGTTGAGTACCTACTATGTTTCAGGCCCATTTCACTTCAAGCCAGTCATTAAAATAAACAGAGCTCAGTTTCTCCTCTATGTTCCAAAGCTTTTATCATTTATAATTTTCTTTATCTCACCAGTGATCTTTTTAGCTAATGATAACATTCTTAGAGGAGTGTGAGTTAAAGGTCTTCTCATATCCCTATCCTAAAAAAAAGAAAACAAAGGTTCAGAGATGTTTACTGACTCTATCCAGATTACAAAACTACTAAGTAGCTGAAATAGATACTGCACCCTTGTCTGATTACATCATATCCCTGATTCTTTCCACTTCGCATTACTTTCCCTTCAACCACCATTCCCTGGAGTCCATCCACATCTCATTTGCACCTTCCAAAGAGCTGAGCAAGCTACATATATCTTCTTGTTTCAAAGCTCCAACTTCCTGTTGGATCTTACACAAAGATCAATTTCCCTTTCAGAGACATCCTTTGTCTCTCATTCAAATCATTTTCAGAAAGAGATTGGGAATCTCAGATTATATACCCACTATGTATACCCTCCACAGTCTCCAAGGAAATGACCCACCACAATTTAATATATAAAAATTCATTTATACATTTGGCAACCATAACGAAAATGATAATTTTCATCAAAAACAAAAGGGACATATTTTTTCTTAAATCTGGGGAGAAAGGACTAAACAGTATTATAGATTGAAGAACCATATTCTAAGTTATCTCATATTAGTTTTATTTTTAAACTAAAGTAAAACAAAAAGCTGTATGTGTTCAGGGACATAGTTATAGTACTGAAGAAGAAAACATTAATAGAAGGAGAAAAGAAGATCCTAAGGCAGGCTTAATTGCCTTCATTGATTGGAGGGTTACTCCATTCACAGTGTGAAAGTGATTATTCTACTTCGTTCTCCTCTAGTTCCATAAAGAACTTCATTTCTTTCAGGATTCTCTGCTCTCCTCCACTTTCAAAACTAATTCCTAGCTGCAAAAGGATGAATTTTTCTAAACATTAAATTATGATCACTTCTCTCCGTCTCTGACCACCACAATTTCAAATCCGAAATTAAAATGTATTAATTCAAATACTTATTGAGATACTCCTACATATATAACACTGTTCTAGGCACAACAGGGAGCTCTGAAGAAGTCTCTTTGGTTTCCAGGAAGATAACATCTAGTAGAGGAAGCCTGAGCAAGACATAATACAGAGCAATAGAGGACAATATAGTCAATGGGCCATTAAGTCTTAGATGTTGAGGTCCAGCTTGTAAAAGTAATTGGTTCTAAATAAACATTTATTTAGAGATTCACCTATTCTACTGTATAAAACACTAGTTTATTGCTTGCAAGTGCTGAAATGTATTTTACCGAATACATATACCACGTTTTATTTACTCCTTCCTGCAGTGATAGGCACCCAGCTTCCTCTAACTTGCAGCTACAATGAACTTCTTTGTGACTGTCCCCTTATGAACCTGGGCTCAAGTTTCTCTGGGATGCATCCCTGAAATGGATTACTGGCTCACCTTCATCTCCAGTAAGCATGCCCAGATTGTTCTCTGCAATGTCTGTACCAGTGTATCCTGCCACTAGTACTGTTTAAGAGTACCCATCTTTCCATATCTATTTAATACTGGCTTAGCGCTAATTTTTGCCAGTCTACTGAGAATCAAGAGTTGGGAATCTTGTCATGTATTTGCTAATTCATATTTGACTTTCAAGGAATTGTCTAATTTAATCACTGTTTTATGGGGTTTCCCTGGTGGCTCAGTGGTAAAGAATCCACCTGCCAATGCAGGAGACAAGGGTTCAAATCCTGGTCAGGAAGATGCCCTGGAATTGGAAATGGGAACCCACTCCAGTATTCTTGCCTGGGAAATCCCATGAACAAAGGAGCCTGGCAGGTAACAGTGCATGGGATCACAAAGAGTTGGACATGACTTATTCACTGAGCATGCACACATGTGTCCCTGTTTTATGTTGTGATTCTCATCTTTTTGGTATGGATTTGTAAGTTTCTTTGTATATTTTAGATTTATATTTTTCTAGGTTGTCAAATATTGGATATCTTTGTCTATGATGCCTATCATTGAACAGAAATCCTTAACTTTAATTTTGTCAAGTCCATCAATATATTTTCTTTATGAAATGTGCCCTTGAGTTTTTATGAAAGTTCTCTTCACCTCTAGATTATGAGGGCATGTGTTTACATGCTTTTCTGAGTGTAGCCAAACCTAATTCTGAGAAAATGGAGACAATTTAAATTCAGAGTAGAGAGGACAACAACATTTTTTTCTAGTGTCTTTTAAGTTATGAGGTAACTCTAAAAATTCAAATAGGAACCAATGCCCAGAACATTTTGAGACTTTATGAATTTCAGCTTTATCCAGTTTTTCCCTTTGTTGCCAGGAAAACAAAGTATTTTTAGATGCTCCTTTTCCCACCTGGAGGAAGAAAAACAGGTGAAAAAGAAAAATATTGAGTCCTTTTCCCCTTGCTTTATTATTAATCATAACAGCTTCTCATAACCTTTAAAACAGTTTCCTTTAAGTGTTGTAAAGTATTACAGATAAATATTATATAATGATGATGATGATGTCAGGGTATTTATACTAAGAACAAAGAAGAAAAATTTTTAAATCACCTAAATGAATACCTTGGCACTTCTTCATGATTTTAAAAGCTTTATGGCTCTGTTTCTTAAAACAATTAGATCCTCTAGTTTCCACAGCTACCTTTTAATGGAAACGACTATTTACGAATTCACCCTATAAACACATGCTAACTATTAATATAATTGATCACTTGGTTTTGCTTTAAGAATTAACAGGTAAAAGTGAAAAACTAAAGCTCTAATTTTCATTGTGGATACACATGTTATTAGAATTACCTGCCTTTAACTATCTATAAAAACTCCCACTTGTGCAAACCTATCTTACTAGAAAAGCTGCTTTTTACAGTTTTACAATGAAAGTACATTATTCTGTTTACTTACTTTTTACTTAGAACGCATTTCAAAAGTGTAAGTTGAGTATATTATTGACCTAATTTTATCATATAAATCCAACAATTGTTTGCTTGCTGTTTCCAAGAAACAGAATTGCTTAAGCCTATTCACATTTATGTTTCTTAGCAGCTGACAGATAATCAACAAAACAGAAATAAGAATCTCTTCTGGTTCTGTTTTCAAAACATAATAAAACTTATATAAGAAAGAGAAATTCCATATAACAAGATATTAGTATTCATAGAAATTTAATTTTTATATATTAAGGAGAAGCAGTTTTCAGAGCATTTGAATTCTGTAAAAGACTATGTGGATGTTAGTAAGTCTGACTTGAGGAGTCAGAAAGTCGTGAACACCTTTGCAGTGCTTCTGTTATTTTTATGAACATTGCTGGCACTTTATACTAAAGGTTATTGTTGCCCTGTTCTCAGATTCCGTTTATACTGGAAGGTGCACCCAGCCCCACTTGTTAATTACGTTGGCTGATAACCCATGGCTACTTTCTTCCCCTGAGAGGTTATGGTCTCACCATCAGGGAGGCAGCCCACAGCCAGTAACTGACTGACTCTGGGGTACCACAAATTAACCTTTGACTCAAGGTAGTCTTCAGGTAAGACTATATCCTTGCTTACCTTCTTCTTCCCTATTGCCCTACCTGCTTCCTTCACTCAAGAAGAGTCTCCTAATAAATCACTGCTGCAAGACTCTCCCTTTTAGTCCTTGCTTGTAGGGAACCTGACCAAAGACTCCTTTATAGATAGATAGCAGCGCCAATTTAATGAACAAGTGCTGTTATTAAAAGTTATTCCAGCCCATGTCCAGTAGTACCTGAGTTGATAATAACTATACAGAATACCAGCTATTTATTCAATGCTTTTGATAATTCTCCACATTTTTGTAGGACACTGTTGTTTTACAGAAACTTGGTTTAGTATTTCAATAGATGGTTTTTTATATTTAATAAGGATTTATTTTAAAATATTTAATAAATATTTGCTAAATGAGTGAATAGATGTGAATGAATGATATAGTTTTCAAAATAGTTTTTTTAGGTAGGCAGAGAGTATTTATTTAATACACAATAGTTATAGTTGATATGAAGACCATTTAATATATAACATGAATACCATTTCCCATATAATTTCATGTGATCTTCATAACCTGCCTTATCCTTTTCATTTTCATTTCAAAGAAACGAAGAGTCAATGAGAGTAAGTGACTTTTTAAAATTTATAGTGAGTAAGTGGCAGGTCCTGGTGGTTGTTGCTGTTTGGTCGCTGTCATGTCTGACTGTTTGAGACCCCACGGACTGCAGCCTACCAGATTCCTCTATCCATAGGATTTTCCAGGCAAGAATATTGGAGTGGGTTGCCATTTCCTTCTCCAGGGGATCTCCCTGACCCATGGATTGAACCTGCATCTCCTGCATTGCAGGCAGATTCTTTACCACTGAGCCACCTGGGAAGTGGCAGGATTAGAATATGTAAATAGATTCTTTAATTTGAGATACATGACTGTAGCATAACTGCTTTTTCTAAGTAAGGACACTAAGTCTGATGAGAATGACAATAAGGAATGCACTAGATTTATATTCTCTCTCAGATCACCAAAGAGAGGACTGATAAACTATTGATGGAATGAAATCAGTGGAAGCCATCTGAATTATTCTTTATTTTCTTCAATGACAGAGTCTATGTGTGATGGTTAGTTTAATATGTCGATTTGGTGAGGTCAAATATTATTCTAGATATACTGCAAAGGTGTTTTCTAGATGAAATTAACATTTAAATTGGTGATTTTTGAGTAAAACAAATTGCCTTTGATAGTTGCCCTCTGACTCAAAGAACATGAATTTGAGCAGATGCTGGGAGATTGTGAAGGACAGGGTGCTGCAGTTCATAGGGTTGCAAAGAGTTGGACAGGACTTAGCAACAACAGCTCCATAATGTGGTTGGGCTTCATCCCATCAGTTGAAAGTTTACCTCCCCTTAGAAGGAATCTGGCAGCAGAGTGCCTTTGGACTCAAACTGCAATTCTACTCTGGGTCTCCAGCCTAAAAGGACCTACAAATTTTAAACTTGCCAAGCTTGTACAATCACAGGAGCCAGTTACTTAAAAATCAATCAGTAAATCAATCAGTCTCTATCTCTTTCTTAGATATAGATATAATCTCTCTATAGAAAGATATTACCTTTCTATAGATATAGATATAATCCTATTGGTTCTGTTCTCTGGAGAACCCTAATTAATATACTATGCTTGCACAAGTAGTTGAGTAACCAACATCTGGAAAGCAGCAAAGTAAAACCAAAAATATTCTCTGGAAGAATTCAGACCTTTATATAACCCTGACTCAATTCAGATATCCCACTGGCAGCTTCCAAATGTCAGAGTTCTTCTTTGTTCCTATCCTCTTTTCAGAGGTAGATACTTCTCTTTGTGTCTCAATTTGGACACCATAGAAAGAGGCAAACTATGGCCCAAATATCAGAAAATAAATCTATAAAATATCTTAACAATCTCCCACCACAACTTTCCTCTAAAAAAACCCAGAAAGGTTTATTAAAAGACTGCCCAGCATGGATGGTTGGTTAACTAAACCATCAACTAGAACCCAGGTCTTCTTACTTCTGGTCCTTTGCTCTTTGTGATTCTTTATATACAAATTTTTACATACTGCAGTTCAAGACACTGTAAGAATAAAAGCCTGTGACTTCAAGGAACTTAAATTCTATTTCACTGAGCAAGAACCTATGAAGACTATAATAATAATAGTATATGACAAATAACAATATATTGGATATAATCAAGGTTTAATGAAGTCTATAGAAAATAAGTACTAACTAGTCAAAGTAGAGAGATTATTTCAGGCTGAATTTCCAGGGAAAGATTAATGAAGAATTCTAGGTACTAAGATGATGCTGTGAAAGTGCTGCACTCAATATGCCAGCAGATTTGGAAAACTCAGCAGTGGCCACATGACTCAAAAGGTCAATTTTCATTCCAATCCCAAAGAAAGGCAATGCCAAAGAATGCTCAAACTACTGCACAGTTGCTCTCATCTCACACGCTAGTACAATAATGCTCAAAATTCTCCAACCCAGGCTTCAACAGTACATGAACTGTGAACTTCCAGATACTCAAACTGGATTTAGAAAAGGCAGAGAAACCAGAGATCAAATAGTCAACATCTGTTGAATCATCAGAAAAGCAAGAGAGTTCCAGAAAAACATCTATTTCTGCTTTATTGACTATGCCAAAGCCTTTGACTCTGTGGACAACAACAAACTCTGGAAAATTCTTCAAGAGACAGGAATACCAGACCACCTGACCTGCCTCTTCCAATCTATATGCATGTCAGGAAGCAACAGTTAGAACNATTTGAAAAGACCCTGATGCTGGGAAAGATTGAAGGCAGGAGGAGAAGGGGACAACATAGGATGAGATGGTTGGATGGCATCAGCAACTCAATGAACATGAGTTTGAGTAAACTCCGGGAGTTGGTGATGGACTGGGAGGCCTGGCATGCT